TTGAGTTTTCTACGTATTTGCAGTGCTATCTGGATCTATCCCATGTGGCCAGTCTCAGAACTGGGCAATGGTCTACCCTGGTAGGGTCAGATCTATGCATGGACAGATCAGGGGTGAGCCCAGGATTTCATATACAACTTTGAGATCAATTTCTTGAGGTTCCTTTTTTCTGTGATCATCTAACACATTCAAGCTCCTAGGGGCCACCTCCCTCTTTGAATCTCATGCTTTAGGTTCTCCACTCTCCTACACACGTCATGGATACATCTGCCTCTAAGTTCAAGTAGCAGGAAGGTAGTGGGAGAAAAAAAGCAATGGGGATTCTCCCAACACTCTTGGGCACACAGTTCCCCTGGCCAGAGATAAGGGTTACCCTCTCAGGGGTTTCAGTGCCTGCTCAGCCATCAAAGTCCTCACCACAGGAATGCCTGGAAATGCCAGAATGGTCTCACTCCAAATTCTGATTAATTTCCCAAATCTGCCTGTTACCTTTAATTTCCAGGGTCCTCAGACAGCTGCTCCATGCATTATCTCCAGGGTTTTTAGTCATATTTGTTGGGAGTGATACTGTGGAATGCACTTACTCCACTTTAAGTGGGATCAGAACTAATCTAAAATTATTTTATTTCCAGTGATTACATCCTGGAGGATGAACTCTCAAAGAGGAACTTTCTGAGAGTATAAAAGGAGAATTCTGTCTGGAAGTTTCATATTTATCACTTTATACAATTACTTTTATGAAAAAAAATTTTATTGTGGTAAAATATAACAAAAAATTTGCCACTTAAACCATTTTAAAATACAGTTCAATGACATTAATTACATTCATAATGTTATGCAACCATCATCACTATCTATTTACAAAAGTTTTTTAACACCCTAAACAAAAACGTAGTACCTTAAGCAAGAATTCCCCATTCCTCCCTTCTACGCAGCCCCTGGTAACCACTAAACTTTCATCTCTTTGCATTTGCCTATTCTAAATATTTCATATAAGTGGGGTCATACAACATTTGTCTTTTTGTATCTGACTTATTTCACTCAGCATAATGTTTTCAAGGCTTGCCGATGTCATAGCATGTGTCAGACCTTCATTTTTCCTTATGGTGGAATAATACTCCATTGTACCTATATACCACATTATGTTTATTCATCTGTTGGTGGGTATTTGGGTTTCCATCTTTTAGCTATTGTGAATAATGCAATGAATGCTGGTGTACATCCAATCACTTTTCATCTCAACTTTTTATTAAAACTTTTAAACATACAGAAAAGTTTAAGGAATGCCTAATGAACATCTCTACGTCATTCACAAAGATTCAGCAACAGTTCAATTTTTTACATATTTATTTGAAAATATTGCAGACATCATGACTTTTCTAACTTAAAATCTTCTGCATGCATCATCCAAGAATAAAGACATTCACCTATATAACCTCAACATCCTATCACTTCTAGTAAAATTAAACACACTCATTATATAATACCTATCCATTTTCATATTTCCCCAATTATTCCTCAAAATGTCTTTTACATTTTTTTTTTTTAATGAAGCAAAAATCAATTAAGGATCATACCTTGCATGTGGTTGTCTCTTAAGTGTTTTAATCCAGAACACTCCACTTTTAGTTTTTTTACAGTGGCTTTTTGAAAAGTCCAAACCAGTGGTCTTGTAGAATGTCCCAAATTGTGGATTTGTCATTTCCTCATTGTGTGATTCATTTTGTTTCTCTATTCCTTGTACTTCTGATAGACAGGAAGATAAATCTAGGTGACAGGCTTAGATTTTAGTTAAACAATTCTGGCAAAAATAAATCATAGATGATGATGTGTGCTTCAAATTACATTTCAGTAAGTCAGTCACAAAAGGACAAACATTGTATGAGACCACTATAATAAGAACTCAAGAAAAGGTTCAAACACAGAAAAAATTCTTTGATGGTTACAAGGGTGGGGAGGAAGGAAGAGGGAGGGGAAATCACTAACTAGATAGCAGACAAGGGTAAACTTGTGAAGGGAAAGACAACACACAATACAGGGGAAGTCAGCACAACTGGACCAAAGCAAAACCAAAGAAGCAGTTTCCTAGACACATCCACTATGAGGGACAGGGTAGCTGGGGCTGAAGCCTGGGGATCATAGTTTCGGAGGATATCTAGGTCAATTAACATAACATAGTTTATTAAGAAAATGGTCTGCATTCCACTTTCCTGAGTGGCATCTGGGTTCTTAAAAGCTTGCAAGCAGCCATCTAAGATAGATCTACTGGTCCCATCCTACTTGGAGCAAAGGAGAATGAAGAAAACCAAAGACACAAGGAAAATACTAGCCCAAAGGACTGAAGGATCAAATGAACCAGAGACTCTATCAGCCTGAGACCAGAATAATCAGATGGTGCCCAGCTACCATCAATGACCACCCTGACAGGGAACACAAGAGTCCTAGACTGAGCAGGAGAAAAATGCAGAATACAAATTCACGTAAAAGACCAGACTTAATGGTCTGACAGACACTAGAGAAATCCCCAAAACTACAGCCCCCAGATACTGTTAACCCAGAACTGAAACCATTCTCAAAGCCCACACTTCAAAGATTAGACACGATTATAAAACAAAAAATACATGCGAGGAACATGCTTCTTAGTTGAAAAAAAAAAGAAAAAAATTACATTTCATCAGGAGCCACATAATGCCAGGTTGTCCCACTAGTGGTGAAACCCATTTGGCTGCCAAATCTATTATAAAAGTATATCTTTTGTAATTCGTATCTGTGATTTTTCGACATCATACACTGTTTTCTAAAAATTCTTCACTTAATAGGCTTTACCATCTATTGATTTTTTGCCAGATTTAATTAAGGGTTGCAAAATGGTGACTTTTCTAAATCTATCTTTCCATGCATATTTTGAAGATGTCATTTTTCAATAATTTTATAAAAAGCTTTCCTTTTTTTTCATCATTACAGATGTGTGTGCACGGTGGTGGTTTTTATTGAGTGTATTATAGTCAATCACGGTCATTCTTTTTGATGTTTAAACTGTGCTAAGTTTGGCTAGTGTAAATTCTTTCAATTCCTGTGCCCTCTCACATTATCTCATTATGTGTTTGTTTTTTTTTTTAAATATATTCCAGACAGCCCTAACACTTTCCATGCTACAAACATGGAATCAGCCTTTTCTCCAAGGCGTGCTGGTTCCTTCTAGTGGGTAATGTTATTTAATAAACCAAAATCTTAGTACTAAGCAGGCTTACTGCTATTGGGTAACTGAATATGTTTTTATCTAGAATACCTTGCAGATAGCTCTGTACAATGTTGAAAACTCAGGTCTGTTTAACAGCTTCATTTTCCTTGTAAATATAATTAAATGTATAAAATCATATTTCTTATGAGGTAAGATAATTAAAAAATATTCTATGCTGATTTCTTGAGTTTGCTTTAATTCTAAAGCCTTTCACAGACAAAAGGTTCTAGCTAATTGTATTAGAACAATTTTTTAAATGATACCAATTATGAAAGTCACATAAAAAAAATCAGAGGAAGTAGGTCCAGGAGGAAATGGTTATCTTAGAAGCATGGAAAATGTCTGGATAAACAATTTAAACTGATGTGTAGAATGTTTAATAATAAAGTACTCATATATTTCTTTCAGAATCAACTCGAGAATGGGTGTTTCTATTTCTTTACACAAAACAATTGCTAAAAGATTTGCAACAGAAACAAAAAAACCCAAAAAACCTTGTATGTGAAACTCCTAAAAGCAATTACAGCATCCGGACCTCAGCTGAGTTTGAGGATTTAAGTACAATTATCAAAAAGCAGGTATAAACAGAGACTAATACAGGAAATCCTCTACTGTAGGTCAATAATTAAAATGAGTAAGGAAAAATACCTTAAAGATCAAAATATAACTAATTAAATTACTGCAATTGTGTCTAAACAGTTTACAAAACAAACAGTACTCCTGGGACTTGCAGTTGGAAATGAATATCACAGAACACTAGAGCTAGTATGGACTCACCTTGGTTTCTTCAAAAACTATACTGATTAAACTCTCTCTTGGCTCTAGTAAGTCATCATCAGGTGTACAGTCAGAGATTCTGTCAAATGTACACCTTCTGCAACAGCAAAGTATTTGCATAATCTCTCCACTTCAGTTTCCTCCACTTTCTGTAGTACTATAAGACTATTTAGTAATATAGAATCATATCAAACGAAAAAATAATATGGGAATAGAAAAGGAAGAGAGTCTCCATTTGGCAAAATTTTAATTTTCAAAAGTAAATTGAAATTAATTTCAGTTAATAAAAACATTTTATTACAATCAAGGACGTGAAAAAATATATATTCCAACATTATGTGTGGATGTATACACATGTATAATGTACATGTGTGTATATATGTGTATGTTAACATATATATAACTTGCTGATGGGGTAGCTAATTATAAGTGAGCTTGACTTTTCACACAAAAGAAGTTAAAGAATTCCTTTTTATCTCTAGCTTTTCTTTATGAAAAGGAGTACTTCCTATGTCTGCCTGCCATTTTATAAAATAAGGCTCATACTTATATACATTATTTACAATAATACAATGACTTTTTAAAAAAAGAAAACACATATAGAAGCTTACTCATAGAAAGGGAATACACTCTAATGAGAGAAATAAAGTTTATATTCAAATATTCTTCATGCTTTTTAAAACAATTTAGGCCTTTTAAATTTTCCTGGCTATAAATTTTAAAATTTTGTTTTTATGTTTTTGGAAACCTTGGTATTTAATGGTTCTTATAGAATTTGTCAAGTCCATGCTTTTCATGTTTTCATTGATCAATTCTACCATTACTTAGTGCTAACTAGCATACTTCCTAGCATACTTCGTCTCACGGACTTTGGACATGTTATCAGGAGGGCCTAGTCCCTGGAGAAGGATGTCATGCTTGGTAAAGTAGAGGGTCAGTGAAAAAGAGGAAGACCCTCAATGAGATGGACTGACACAGTAGCTGCAACAATGAGCACAAACACAGCAATGATTGTGATGGCACAGGACTGGGCAGTGTTTAGTTCTGTTGTACTTAGGGTTGCTATGAGTCAGAACTGACTTGACAGCACCTACAAGAAGCATATTTCCTGTAGAAGTAAAAAAGAGTTACTCTGTTAGGAGTTTGTGCCCTATTTATTATTCCCCTGATTACTGTCCAATGAGAAGTGTTGGATTCTTTGGGAGATAAATTAAATCTCATAGGGCTTATCTCCTCTAAGAAAATTCTGATAATGAGTAAGGGAGGAGCTGTAGATGAAAGGTTTCTCATACTCTTTCCATTTATAGAGTTTTTCTTTACTGTGAACCTTTTTGTGTCTACAAAGATTTGATCTGTAACTGTAAGCTTTCCCACATTCCATACATTTATAGAGTTTCTCTCCAGTATGGATTCTCTCATGTTCAGTTAGGAATGAATACTGGCTGAAAGCTTTTCCACACTGACTACACTGATAGGGTTTCTCTCCAGTATGAATTCTCTGATGCCTATAAAGGTTGGATTTGCAACCAAAAGATTTCCCACATTCTTCACATGCATAAAGTTTTTCTCCAGTATGAATTTTCCGATGTTCATTAAAGGATGAATATTGATTGAAGGTTTTCCCACATTCGTTACATTGATAGGGTTTCTGTCCAGTATGAATTCTCTGATGTTCAATAAGGGTTGAGATGCGTGTGAAGGTTCTCCCACATTCCATGCATTTACACAGTTGTTCTCCAGTATGGAGTCTCTGATGTTCAGCCAGAGATGTAAACTGGCTGTAACCTTTTCCACATTCACTGCATTTATAGGGTTTCTCACCTGTATGGATTCTTTGATGTCTATGAAGTTTTGCCCTGCAATTAAAGGCCTTCTCACATTCGCCACATTTATAGAGTTTCTCTCCAGTATGAATTCTCTGATGTACAGTGAGGGTTGAACACTGGCTAAAGGCTTTACCACATTCGTTACATTGATAGGGTTTCTCTCCAGTATGCACTCTCAGATGTTTGATAAGGGTTGAACTACTGCTAAATGCTTTCTCACATTCATTACATTTGTAAGGTTTCTCTCCAGTATGAATTCTCTGATGGGCAAGAAGGGATGATCTGTGGCTGAAAGTTTTCTCACATTCATTACATTTGTAGGGTTTCTCACCAATATGAATTCTCTGGTGTTCAATAAAGTGAAGACTATGGTTAAAGCTCTTGCCACATTCATTACAAATATAAGAGTTTTCTTCTGGATAAATTTGGAAGCATTTCATTAGATCAAAATCTTGCCTAATATCTTTCCCAAAAGTATAATATATACTGGGTATCCTTTCTATAGGAACACTCTGTTGTCTAACAAGAATTGTATTTATAAATAAGCCTTTCCCGAGTTCAAGATTTGTATGGTTTCCATCTCCACTGATGGTTTTCTTGTATGAGGCTACCATTTGCCTAAGAGGTTTCTTCTGTTGCTCCTGTTCTAGCCTGCTCTCAAAATCCAAAGTTTCTCCAAACTTGACATTCCAGTGACCATACTTAATGGCTTTTTTCATTATTATTCCCTGAGATGTTTCTTCTCTAAAAATGTCCTCTCTTGGAGGCAATACTTCTATTTTAGGCCAAGTCTTGAAACCTGAAATGAATTAGAAGAATTAATGCCTACTCTTGTAGAAGAGACAAACTGATGCATCAATGGGACAATAAAATTGGTAACAATACATATAAAAGAGGTTTATATCATCTGATCTCAAATATGGACTTGAATCCGGATAAAAATGGGATGGAATAACGCAATGAGAGGTAAACAGGTTAAGTGAATGGTATGAGAGAATGCATTAGAGAAATTAACACTGAAAATGAAGACAAGAAAAGTTAGACATAGAAGAATAGGTTGAGCAGAAGGTATAAGGATATAGGAAAATGTCAGACATTAAACTCAAGTTGAAAAACTAGTCTGGGAATACTATGTAATACTTCACTGTATTTATCATTTATTATCATTTTCCACTTTAAGTATACTGGGCAATAAAGTAGAAGACTTGTTATTACTTTCTTCTTTCTTTCCTTCCTACTCATGGCTAAAATGTTGCTTTTTTCCATGTTCTCTCTGAAATCCCACATACGATAATTTTTAAATATTTGCGATGTTTTTTGTGATTTCGTATGTGATTGTGAATTTGTGTAATAGTCTATGAAAGGATTAACAGTCTTAAAAAGAGGACATCCAGGTTGTAAAAATTACAACAGCACTGAAGCATCACTTTTGACAATATTTGATCTCAGTTTAAGATGCTGATGATAAAGAAAAGGAAAATTATGGAGTAAACCAGCCCTGTGCAACAATCTATCTCTTGTGATTGGAGGAATAACAATTCTTTCATACTACCCGGCCATCACTTTCCTCCTTTTTAGTTGATCATGGGGAGAAACAGACATGTTAATTCTTCTAATAAGCTGCAACAAGAAGGCTGAATTCTCTTTGTAGGAACCTTTAGAGAGTAATGAAATTCTGTAAGAGATCTGAAGTTAACATGTGCTGGTAAGTTCTGAAATATACACAAGTTCTAAGCTAAGCTATGATTCTAAGTAAAAAGATTCAGCTTAAGCTGATTCTAAGGAACTCTGTATTAAAAGCTCGCTTTCATTAATCAATCCATTACTGAAAATTGATTAAAATTAGAGAACTGTAATTAAGTAATTGTAACAGTAGTTACTTTGTAACATATGGTGTCACCACGACATGATGGCAAAAGGTTTGGGTTTTTGTTTACTTTAATAAAGTATATAACCAGATAATTTAGGTTAATAAAATTACTGCTTAGTCCATCCAGTCTCAGTAATAAAATACGTTTTACTGAAATAATTGAGAACAAGAAGAAATATAGGCTATAATTTTTCTTAATGATGCCTATGGGAAACCTAGCAGTTTGGATTTTCACAGATCAACCAAGGTACCTTCTCTCTTTTATTCCACTTTGCCAAAATATGACCTTCCCTGCCCATCCAGAAATTTACCCTACTACTTTAATCCCATCTCTCTACAGAAACTTCTTAATTATTTAGGCCTAAATTGACTATCTCTTTCTTAGAATTTTCAAAACATATTTATATCATCCATTCTATCACTTAACATATATATAGGCTTGTCAAAATAATTCAAGTATTTTTTTTCAAGTAGAACAGTGAACATGTCTTATTATTTGGTAACCTCTTATTATGCACAAGTATACAATCAGAATGTCTTAAATAAAAAGAAAAAATGTACGAATGAGCAGGATTAAATTGCAAAAATTATTAGGAAGGGCAGGTGACCTAAAAAATGAATAGAAAAGAGATTTTTCTCCTCTAATGCCTGACATCTGAGACTCATACAAATATTGACTAATAGGCAATGAGGATATGAAATAAACAACCAACCCAACAATAATAGTCCATTTCTCCATTATGTGAGAAGCCTAGATTGTGTGATACAAGTTTGAAATACGGAGAATGAAGATAGTATCAGCTGTAAGGAATGGTTTTATGAAGTAGTTTGGACAACAAAAATGAGGTAGATTTCCATAGAAAAATAAAGAGGATCCTGTGGGTCAGAAAGATATACTAATAAGACATCTGTGAAGAAAAGCAAAACTATTTAGTGGAGGTTTATTTGACTAAAGAAGGAAACACAGGTTGGAATTAGTTAAAAATCTGGTTAATCAGAATGAGGTCAAACTTAAAGAGTTCCTGAACAACTGGCAGCAGAATTTAGAATGATAATATAGATAATAAAAGGCATTATTTCTTAGACAGATAATGATAAGACAAACAATGGTTGTTTTTGGTAAGTGGGCAGCTTGGATCAGAGAAAGGACAGAATGGAATCTGAAAGATGACATAGCTGCAGTGGTCTGGCTTGACTGTGTACTTAATTTTGAGGTTCATCGGCACTGAGCCAATAATAGGGGCAATTCAATTAAATTCAACAAATATTAACTAAATGCAATATATGATATGCTGGAGGCACAGAATTCAAAGACCTGGTCTGTCCCCTTGATGTGCTCCATCTAATGAGAAAAATAATGAAAAAAATAACTATAATGCATTATGATAGATACTGTTATTGATGTGTTCAAAATATGTATACAGTGCTATATGAGCACAAATGATGAAAAAATTAATGTTGACTGGGAAGTGTGAAAGATAAGGGAAACCTACAAATAAGGGGCTGCATTTTAGGAAGGCAGATGGATCTTGGAGAACAAGCGGGAGTTTTCCAGTAGATAGGATGGAGGAGGCAATTGAAGCTGAAGGAATATCATAAAAATGTTAATGAGCATGAAAGTATGGCCAGAACATGGAGCTGTAATGGAAGTGGCCACTGATAACGCTGAAAAGGAATATAGGACAGGCTCTGAAGTAGGCTTAATGTCACTTTAAGGAATCCTACTTCTCTCCATGGATAATAGGAAAACAATGGAGTCTCCTAAGGTATAGAATTAACATCTGAGTTTCAAAAGGATCATTCTTCTGGCTGCAGTGGAAGGTGGGTGGGGAAAACAAGGTTCAGAGAGGTGAAGTAACTTTTCCATAGGTCGTAAGGCTTGTAAGTGAAATGAGGAATGTCTAAATTCAATCCATGCTCTTAAATGTTAAATGTACTGTCTTTATAGGAGAACTCTTTATAGGACAAATTGCTTAAGAAGAGTTTATAGGAGACTTTATAGGACAAAACTGTATTTTAATAAAGATGAAAAGAATCTGTAGAGAGAATGAAGGAAAAGAGATGCCAGTGAAGGAAAGGATCAGAGATTAAAGATCAAACCACAAAGATACTAGGCAAAATATTGGCATGACATTGGTGTCTAGGTTCTCTCACTGCATTTCAGTTTTCTAGCTCTGTGATCAAAGTATTTTAAAATCTCTGATGCTCTGTTTCTTCAAATATAAAAGGACATATCTATATTTGACAATTTTAAAATGTTGCCCCAACTCTATCCATCTACAGTTTATGATAAGACTAATTACATTAGATTAGGCTACAAGAGGGGTCAATAAACTCTGGGTTTGCAGGTCAAATCTGGCTGCCACTTGTTTCTGTGAAGTTTTATTAGAATTCTGCCATATCCATTTTTTAAAATATTGTCTCTGGCTTTTACACTACACTGGTAGAGTTGAGTAGTTAAAATACAGATGATATGATCTACAAAGTAAAAATATTTATTTCTGGTCCTTTATAGAAAAAATTTGCTGACCCCTGAGGACTAGAAAGACACCAATTGTTATCTTCACAAGAGCTGGTTGAATATAATAGTGGGAGATAATAGCCCAGTTTCTAAGAGATAAAGGAAAATGTTAGTTAAGAAGTCAGAGACAAGGAGAGTTAAGGATAATACTTTTAAGTATGTGTTTGGTGAAAGAAAAAAAATTATAAAGAACTCAAGATACGGCAGCAGAAAGTGTGACATATTTAAAATCTTTCAGATATGAATATCTGTGAAGGCAGATGAAAAGGAAATCATGAACAGCAAGAGGCTAAAGATGCTAGAAGTGAAGATGCAAAAAAAGGAAAAGGATAGATAATTATAGAGTGGTGTTAGATGAAGAAAAAAAGACATCTCTGCCTCTTATCTGGAAGAATGGTATGTGAAGAAAGCTGTCAAGACAAGGACATTCTTGATACAAAGAAAACCATTACAACCAAGGAGGCATCTGTCGGGGGCCCTGAACATTTCAACAGAGCTCAGAATTTCCAAGAAAGCCTCCAATGTACTGCCTCCTCATGACCTTCCCATCTAGAGAGACTCCCCTGTGCCATTTCCCAGTCACTTACTTACCTAGACAGGTGTCTTGGGGGATTTGCCTTTCTACCATGCAGGGATCTTCTCCTTGTGGTAACTGGCAAGTCACCTTTGGCATTGAAAATGGAATCCCTGCTCATAAGGAAAAAATGGAGTTTGAAAGAACGGCATAAAGAGCAATCCCAGCGTTTATATACCAGAACCTACAGGGCAGAGAAGGAAGGTCTAGGCAGGCAGAGTAGGCAGCACAAGCACTTCTGAGGAGTTCTGGGTGGACCAGGAGGTGGGTCTCAGTTCAGAAAGAAAGAATATAGGGCCCTGGCTATGAATGCCTCTAAAATGGGAGGCCTGTACGTGTCTCAGAATCTGCACTGCAGGG